TTTTCCTTTTGCAACAAACTTTGCACGTATGGGTAATGGAAAATGTAAATTTAAATACAGAAATACATTGCCATTTTGAATATTGCATTGCCATTTTGCATATTGCATTGCCATTTTGCATATTGCATTTTAAATTGAATTTCGCTACCTATATGCTTCCATAGTTTTGGAACAAAACCAAAAGTGCTGTGGAAGTGCAATAAACCACCTTGTGGTGTTACCTAGAAAAGTAGTTATGATTTTAAACAAACCACTGAAAAAGAGGTCACTAAGGTAAAGGGGGTTTCAATGCCCCTCTTAGATCACTCACTGATATCTGAAGGTACTTACAAGGTTTCCCCAGTTTTCGCAATATGGCACAAAAACTGATCCAACACCAGAGACGACTCTTTCTTCACCTTCTTGTCGAAATCTGCAAGAAACACAATAAAAAGATTGCATTATGGATTTCATATAAACATCTGTACCGGATGCAATCCGAGCAACTTCCAACTTTAAAATACCTTCAATTCGAAATCTAGTTAGTCCAATCTAGTTCTGACTTACATCTGCTTTCATGAAAAAAAAAAAAAAGAATTTTTTAATTAACTATATCTCACATTTTAAATGAGAACAACTACAGTGCACCTAGGTTTAGGTCATATTCAAGCTCCAAAATCAGCATTTTATTTTCTACAACTATTTAGACAACATCTATAATCGGTCTTGGAATAATATGCATGCTTTTATTAAAGTTAAAACATATAAAATTAGAACATATCTTTATTTTCCAAGAAGAGTCAATAAAGTAAGCAGTACAACTATAATGATCCTAAACATCTTGTTACTAGTCATCCTCAAGATTCACAACCTTGTGGTACTTTATGACCCCTACTCAGACCACTAATGGAAAACTATAACCAGTCCAGCCCTGAACTTTTATGAAAAATACGACAAAATATGAATGCATTTTCTAACGCACTTACATAAGAATTAATACAGGTACTGTACAATAAATCTGAGCTTTGTCATTAAATCACAAAAACTATTTATACCACTCTGGGTATGTATATAAAGAATGAGAAATTATTAACAACAATAATAACAGTAGTAATAATAATATTCAAGTTAGTAGTAGAACTGAGTACAAATTCTACCAAGGTGTAAATGCTAAAAAACAAAAACAAAAACAAAAAAAGCATGTTATAAAGAAAACTTATCAAGAAAATGGGACTTTATTATTAAATTATTCATTAGTTTAGAGTTAACACTGAATATACACATGTGTAATATACTCAAATCAACTCTAGATCATCCCAAACCACTAACTAGTTATCTCTATCTACAATAGTCTTGTTTATTAACGTATTAATTAACTAACCCGTCATTTTGGCCAAAAAGTAATAGAAGTCATAAAATAGGGAAATAGAAACCTGTTCATTTGCTCTTAACACACAACAGACCTCGAAAAACAGTAAAAGCCATTTAGCTACAGGCCATGCTAACATTAGCTAACTCACACTGCCAGCTTATAAGCACATATAACTCCTCTCTAAACGCACGCAGGCCACCTCAACACACACAACCGGGCACCTTTAAGAGCTTCCAGAAGAGTGTCAATCTCCATGTCTGTGTTGTTGTGTCTGTCTCCAGTTGGAAAGCGAGAGCTGATGGCTGCTGTTGAGCTCAGTGAAGCAGAGGAGAGGAGAAACATTTCAATATGGCGACGTCTGCTACGTCACTGCCGGCCGCTCTTCGGGAGCGCTGACTGTTGCGCAATAGCATGGCTGCGTCTCAAAATCTTGAGCTGCTTACCTTACCTAGCTAGACATCATTTTTGGGACTTTGTAGGCGTAAAGAGTTTTGGAAATGTTCCGCAAAACCTAGTGAGCTGCCTATGTAGACAACATTTTTGAGCACAACAGGCACGTTTCGAACAAACTTTATGCGGCGTCAAGGTAGGTTCAAAAGGTTTTGAAACACGGCCTGAATTTCGTGTTCAGTCTGACTGGAACTATTAGCCTATTTATAATTGAACGCTCATCTTCATGTTTATTTAAAAGCAAATATGACTCATCTCGTCCTCAGTTTGAACCTAAGTTACTTATTGTAAAATGTCTGGCCTGTTGTTTTATCCCCCTACAAAATTTACTGTAGTAACCAAACCAAAATACCAAACCATCGAATATATTATAATGTTAATTACAATGTTTATCATTTAGAGTATTAAAACGTTCTTAATGAAACTAATTATGAAGAGTTGCCTGAGCATATACTGTCTGAACAAGAAGTTGTATAACATAGCACTGTATTAAAATATATTTTTTATAATAGATTGATAACGCAAAAATAATTGTGAGACGAAGCTAAATCAATATTAAATGCATATTTATTTATTACATTTCTGACACACACTTTTGTATAAAAAGGACAATAATACATACAATGTAAGACATTCAGAAAGACAGAAAAGCACACTGGATACAATGAACATCGCTGGTGCATCTCTTCACACAGAGATAACATGAGATGTAGAAGAGTCTCCTGAGTTTCCAGTTAAGGAAATGTCATCACTGATCCGAGACCAGTGACAGGAGGCTGGAAACTGGTCACACATATAATTAAGCACATTGTGCTAATGAACATATCAAATCACACTCTTGCTTTCTACATGACGTTCATACTTTCACACAGAAGCAGTCAACAAATTAGCAGGCTGTGGTTACACAATTAAAATGATTTCAGATTTTTTTTAAAGAAATGGGTAAACTGATCATATTGGGTGCAGAGAGTTTGTTTTGTTAAACTAATTTAGCCATTTTTTCCCCTTATCTTTATTTGTATTTTCTCCAAATTCAGCATTTATTACAAAGTGCACTTAAGTGTAAACTGTACATCTGAGTATGGTTTTCTGGTTTTATTATAGTTTTGTTTTTATGTATATAGTACTGTTATGATGTACAAACCATTCTAATCGGCACATATGATTCATTTTAAATGATCACATTAGATCAATCCCACTATGGCAGAAAATCAAACTCCTAACAAACACAGGGTAAAACAACAAAATGTTTTCTTTGAACATGACTGGACTGAATATTGTTAAAAATACTTTAATACTTGGACCTTTTGCGTAGCTCCCACAAACTGTTGCAGATTACCTTAAAAAAAAACATTCCACCACAAATTCAACATCAAATTCATTATGTCCATCAGAATAGGCTTGTCGTATCAATATACAGAACAACAGATTTAAAGGGATAGTTCACCCAAAAATGAAAATTTGATGTTTATCTGCTTACCTCCAGGGCATCCAAGATGTAGGTGACTTTGTTTCTTCAGTAGAACACAAACAACGATTTTTAACTCAAACCGTTGCAGTCTGTCAGTCTTATAATGGAAGTGAATGGGAATCACGGCTTTGAGAAGTAAAAAAAAACATACACAAACAAAACCAAATTAAACCCTGTGGTTCGTGACGATACATTGATGTGTAAAGACACGAAACGATCGGTCTGTGCAAGAAACTGATCAGTATTTATATTGTTTTTTACCTCTGATGCACTGCAATGTCTGAACTGACTGAACTGTCCTGAGCGCGTCCTCGACAGCCGGCGCGTAACGCGTCTTCTTCATCTCTATCGACAATCTCAATTAGGAGTGTCAATGGTCCATTTGAGAGATAGGTGGCGGTATTGCACTTATAAGTCTGCGATCCGCCGTAAAGCAAGAAGAAGACGACGCATCACGCGCCGGCTGTCGAGGACGCGCTCATTACGCGCTCAGGACAGTTCAGACATTGTAGTGCATCAGAGGTCTCTATATATATATATATATATATATATATATATATTAAAATTCAAATCCCAATCACAACATTAGGCCCCTTTCTAGTCTTACTGACAAGTCATCTTCAATGTAAACAGTGTGAACATCCACCATTAGGGCTGTACTTAAACTGAATGTACATCTTACTGAGCTCTACAGGCTAGTTCTCTTTGGTTGTTTCTGCTTGCTACATTCATTTTTGTGGCTTGAAAACAAGGCCTTATCTCATGCTATTAAGCAGCAGAATGCACAAATTGGTGCAGCCACTTAAATACAAGAATTAGATAAAGTGAGACACAAATGCTCCAATTACGTAATACTAGACATAATGAACTAGATGCTGAAAAATGGTACAACACAGTTGTAAAATAAACAGCTCTGAATCCATATTTTTGGATTGGCTAAAAACAGCTTTGCCAACGAGTCTCTCATGTTCTTTCAGGAACATTCAAGTGGTTGGTTACCCACAGTTGGAGACACTCAATGCGTTTTCTCACTACTCTCTCTCAAGAGTTTTGATGGTTTCGCTAGAGTTGCATTCATTCTGCATTGCTGTTTCCATCCAGCAGACCAAAACGTCTGCTCAAAAGAAATTGTTCCAGCTTGAATCTTCAACTCCTCTGGCTCATGAAGCTCACACTGTGCCTAATGGACCAAATGTAGCTTGCCTCTGGCATTGCTCGTCTTCGATGAAAAAGATCACTCTGATCCAAGCAGCAGGCAGATTCTTCCTTGTGATACTGAAATGCAGTCGAGGCTCATTACTCGCGTGGCAGTCGGACACGGCGCACCACTTTTTTCTCATAAACAGCCCTCATGGTCTTCTCGATCTGTCTGAGGAACACTTGTGGTATCCTTCCACAAAGGGTGTTAACTGTGTCTAGGAACTTAGTCTGAAGAGGGTAAAATAAAGACTGGAACAAGTTCTCCTCAAAAGGATACTGAAAGAGAAGATGAAATACATTACATTTCAATGTGTTCAAGGAACTGCTTTGGTTTGTTTGTTGAGGCACAATGAACAAGGTCCACATTTCATATCTGACTGAATTCTGAACAGCAGAGGGGCCCATGTGACTCGACCATACAAAAGGCGTCCTCTTGATAGACACTTTCCTGCTATTAGCCTTCAAGGAGACTGCACTCTGAATATACAATGCAACACTTCTATTTATTCTCATATGGTTCAACACCCTCAGGATTTGCTTTGTTAGCACTGAAAATTAGAAAGTGGACTGGCAATGCGAAGACAAATGGATTACATTTCTTAAGCTTAAAATCTTAAAGTCAAACAACTTGGCTTTTACATTCTATGAAAAATAGTGATTGTGTGCCAGGGCATGTTTTTAGTGTGGTGCTATGGGGGTGTTTTGTTTCCAGGTTATTATATGAATGTGTGTGTGCTGTTCAAAAGTTTGGGATCAGTAAGATTTTTAATGTTTTTAATGGAGTTAAAGGCTGTATTTATTTGATCAAAAATACAGAAAAAAACAGTAATATTGTGAAATATCATTACAATTTCTAATTTTGGTTTCTTATTTTAATATACTTTAAAATAGAATTTATTTCTGTGACGCAGCGCTGAATTTTCATCAGCCATTACTCCAGTCTTCAGTGTCACATGATCCTTCAGAAATCATTATAATATGCTGATTTATTATCAGTGTTGAAACTGTTGTGCTGCTTAAATATTTGTTGGAACCTGTGATATATTTTCTTTGATTCTTTGATGAATAAAAAGTTAAAAAGAACAGCATTTATTCAAAATTGAATTTCTGTTCTAACAATATAAGTCTTTACTATCACCTTTTATCCATTTAGCACATCCTTGCTGAATAAAAGTATTCATTTCTTTAAAAAAACAAAAAGAAAAAATTTACTGACCCCAAACTTTTCAATAGTAGTGTATATTGTAGGGATGCACGGTACCACTTTTTCCAGTACTCGCCTGATACCGATACTTTTATTTTTTTGTACTTGCTGATACCGAGTACCGATAACAATATTTTTATTGCATTTGTAAATTTTTTAAATATTGGGTACAGAAACAAAAATAGTATGTATAATGTTAGTTGGTTAACTTCATTTATCAAATAGATACAGTCAAACCAAAATTTATTCAGACACCTTCAACTTTTCTTAAGAAAGGTTTTCCTATGAATTAATTAGTAGAAAAGTCCATTTCTACTGTGCATTGTGCCTCTTGCTATGGAACATGCAGTGATTTTCTCTCTGCTCACATTCCTCTGGGTCATAAAACCAGTGGTATCAGCATTAGTTGCCATGGGGACCAGGGGCCTGTTCGGCTTTCCTAGGGTGTTACGCATTTCGGGGGAAGGGTCCATAGGTCCTCATATGGCTTGTTAACTGAGGGGTGTTACAGAGTATTTTTTAAATATAGCTAACAAAATATATATTGTGTGTTTGATTGGTCCAGACGCTACATGCTCCATTGCAGCGGCTTAGTACTGTAATCACGCGCTTTGTTGTAATACTGCAGGGAACCACTCGTTATAAATCTCCTAACTGTGATATTTTCAGAGATAGAAGTCGCGTTTTTTTTTTCATCTGAAACGTGCTGCCATTTATATTCCAAAGCCACTCGTATAATGCAGAAACACTCAAGCAAGCAAAATACGAGTTTTAATCCAAATGATGCATGTGCTAAGTGAGTGAACATCACGCGCTCTCTCTCTCTCTCTCTACCGTTAAGTAACTTGTGCATTGTTTTACTTACTTGTTTTTGACATATCCGACCAAACTACAAACTTTCCAGTGATGTCTGTGAGAAAGAGATATTAACTCGACAAGCTTGCGCATGTGCGCCGCCGTGCGCTCAACCCACTCACACGTCAGCTATACAGGCGTTAATACTGAATTTTAACATTATATTCATTGCATACATATACTTCGTAGACATCCTTATCGCATGATGTGTGGTATAGGGGCATTTTAATGAGTACGAGTACAGGAGCTCAGTATCGGG